AAATCAGCATTAAATATGGAAGTCTTGGTGAATATTGATATAGTAGTTGTATCACTGAATATATTTTTGTTGATAAAATATTGAATGTTTTCCTGAAAGACCAGCATCCGTCCATTCATCTGCTGTTGTACTTGTATTTATTTCTACAGTTTGTGATGTTATTTTGATTCATTCCAACTGTTATTGTTTGGATATGAAAACCATTCAAACAATTATTGCCTTGTTATATTTATACTGAATAAATAATTTACATATACTTCCTTGTTATTTTGGATTATTTTAAGTTGGCACATCACGGTAATGTACAAAGAATAGAGTCCATCAACAGGTGTTCCCGTTTGGTCATCATGGAGCATATTTGTAGGACCTGCAGAATTATGTTTGTTTGTTGTTTAATGCTGCACTCCAGCTATTCCAGCTATATGATGGCGGTCTGTGTAAATAATCGAGTTTGACACCATGAGTATCAATCCACGCAATTGGGATACAATGACATGTATCAACCAAGTCAGCGAGCCTGATCACCCGATCCCGTTAGTCGCCTCTTACGACAAGCATTGTCACCTTTTACTGCAAGTATGGGTTGTTGAAGACCTATTCTACCCCGGATCTTCACAGGGTTGCAGAATTATGTACATGACTCAACACAATAGAAAAGTACAACAACCAGACCTCTGAAAACTAATGTACAATTTGTAATGCAACCTGTAGTTGTTAATGTCCTTGTTTAGCTGGTTGTTGTATGCAGTTGAGGCTATCTGCTTGTATGGAAATAGCGGATAGATGTGATCTTTCTTTTTTACTGATCATGATTATTTCTTTTTGTTATTTGTCATATATGATGCAATGTGTGGCAGATAGTGAATTGAGTTTGATAAAATCTGTAATTAAGAAACAATGCATGTCTTTAGTTAAAGCATAAATAGGGTTGAAACAGTAACTATATCTGTCATGTATGTACAGCAAGTAAGGCTGGCTGCAATATTATCAAATGATCATTTTGAAAATTGGAATATCAAGGTGGACAATTTCCTGTTTATGAATGCATACAGCTGTTGTTGAATTTTGTGGATGCAGCAGTTTCCCAGGTACTTTCCATTATCTATGGAGAAAAATGGATTGCAGCTGCTCTAGTTGTTAATAGGCATTCACTGTTTTGCTTGTACTTGGTAAATGCTAGTGCTACCTGGTTCTTGCAGTGTGGGAAAAACAATATTCTCCTTAACCTGAACAACCGTGTAGTGTTAACAAGGACACAATCACTCAAGCTTTCAAACACAAAATCAACCTGTTTGTTGTTTAACGCTGCACTCAGCAATATGGAATGTGAGTGAGTGAGCGAGCATGATTTTACGCCACTTTTAGCAATATCACGGCGGGGGACACCAGAAATGGGCTTCACCATTACCCATGTCGGGATTCGAACCAGGGTTTTCGGCGTGACGAGCGAACGCTTTAACCACTAGGCTACCCAACCGCCCCTGTTGGAATATGATGACCAAGTCAATGAGCCTGACCACCCGTTCCCGTTAGTCGCCTCCTACGGCAAGCATGGGTTGCTCAAGACCTATTCTACCCCGGATCTTCACAGGTCCAGACACAGGTAAAGAGAAGATGCGGCAAGTCAATTTGCTGATTGCTTTACATAGAAAACACTCATTTTCACAAATGACAAAATTGTAGTTATTCCAAAAATGTTTATTTCAGGATATTTAACCATAACAATCGTAACAATGTACCTTCCAGAGGTACTTTGTACATAAACACGTGGAGGCCAGTAAGTTGAAGGGTTGAAGAGATTCACCTGTTCTAGTGACTAGAATCCCCTGACGTTGAATTTGAATACGCTGGTACTTCATAAGCATCCATATCACTTTCATTCTTAACTTAGAAAGATTGTTATGCTAACTTTGTGCAAAATAAACCTGAGAAACGACTTCGTAAGATTTTTTTTTACAATCAACTTTTCAACATAATAGATGAATTTGAGAGGGACAAAAGATGAGTTCTGTAAGAAGGAATTGAAAATGAATTATCCACGCGACAAACAAAACCAGCAACCCGAGGGGTAACAGTGTATGTAGAATTGTTAGTATCATTACACCAACTCCTTCAAAGAAATGGAAATAACATTCTGCAGGACATGGAGTTGCAATCCCTAAGATCAAACATGACAAATCAGGATAATGCTCTCTAGGAAACACATTTCATGCCTTTACCTTACCACTTCAGTTAACTGGCAGTGAAGTATATTGCACTTGTCATGTCTAAAAGCACAAATGACAATTCCAACTGGCTGATTAAACTCTGCTACTATCTACTACTTTCTATGTTCTTTTGTATTTTTTTTACCAAGTAACACGTACATCATATATACTCAATTCTCACATTAGTGTCATGATCACTGTCCTTGAATAATGCTGATACTGATTCAATCTCTGCACAACATGCTAATGATATATTAAAGATAGAAATTGAATAATGACAAACAACTTATACCAAAGAATTAAAAAAAGATAAATTCAAAACAAAGGCATGATGGTGTTATTTAAAATTACAATATTTAAGCCAAAAAACTTTTATTTATTGTAAAATGTGAAAAAAGAGATTGGGTAATAATGAAATAAAACCATCTTGGAGAAAACAAGAACTTCATAAACATGATAAATATTGCCTTAGTAGTTAAAACACAAGAAAAAAACTAATCATTATCAGGACAAACAAGATAAATGTCATCAAAAGCAAGAAACAAGATAAAATACAACATAAAAAAACATATCTGATAGCACTTAGCTATCAAGTAGTAACAAATATCCTTACTTAATTGGTGATAAAATATTTTGTCACCAGCTTTCATTTATTCACTGGCTATTTCTTAAACATAATATCTAGTATAAATAATACTCCTTTTTGTAACATATATACCGGACCTGTGATCACAAAAAACACCCCTTGAATAACTTCTGATATGTTTCCAAATCCCAATAGACATTCAAAGACATTGAAAAACTCTTAGTTATAGAATCCAATTATGCATAAACAGATGATGACTCTGTAGTCTAAGTGCTCCTACCAAGATCTCAATGATACAAATAAGGAAACACCTTAAACAAAGAGGAAATGAAGAAACAAGTGTTTCCTGGAAATAGCCATCAGCGCTGTTGAATGCTTGACTGCTGCTGACAACACCATAATGAGTGAGTGAGTGAGTGAGTGAGTGAGTGAGTGAGTGAGTGAGTGAGTTGGGTTTTAACAGTATTCCAGCTTCACGTGATGTCAGCTTATTGTGGGAGGAAAGCCCGAAGTGATGCAGGTCTCTGACGTTTACCACTTCGGTGAAACCTACGAGCACAGGTATGGTGCTGACAAACCTAGAAACATAATCGGGGTGAACCGTGATTCGAACCCACAATCATAGGTTTCTGGCGTGTCCAAGGGACGCAACTCTGCACAGCAAATCGCGGCTCCTTAGACAACTGGGCCACCCGTGCCCCCTCACCATAATGACAACTGAAGGCACTGCCACTGTTTCAGGTTAATTTCATGGTTGGTTCAATTGGTTCAGTTTAACACAATAAAATAATTGTGTCACAATGTAAATAGAGATCTGTAGGATGAACGACAAGATAATTTCCCACAACTTTTCTCTTCTATCATGTCTACTTCTTTGTTTTCACTACGCATATTAGCAGTTTTAGTATGGAACTCACCAATCAAAGTAAAGCATTTCATTCATTGTGGGAAAACCAAAAGTGATGCAGGTCATAGATGTTTATCACAATCAGCACATCCTGGATAGGCTAAGGGAAGCAACTGTGCACATACAAATTCTGCACCTTAGACCACAGAGCCAACTGACACTAATCCACAAATCATACTGGTAAATTGTGAAACTGAGTAAATTTCCATGCCATTATTCCTTTTTCTGCCAAGGTCTCAGAATGTCAAATTGTTCCATAAGAATGTGAAGAATACACGTAGATGAAAACTGAAAATCCTGTAAATGTACAATCTGGCCCATACACAAGATACTCAAACATGAAGATCTCTGAAATACAGGGGCACATGATGCTAGAACAGCCATAGTGACTGACCTAGGAAAGCTTCAGACATGCACCAGCAACAAACTAGGAAAACCACTAAAATGTTAGTGTTGAGATTCACCATCTGTTTCCAGAGTCAAATTGTTCATTGAGCAAACTCTAGATGGCAATTGAGTTTATGTATTTGCATGCAAAAATCCTCGTCCATCACCTTTCATTACACCATACTGACAAAATACACTCCAGACAAACCCACAAGGTGTAAATAAGTTATTTCACAAACTGATGACACGGCAATGTAAGTAAATACTGCTGCCAATCAAACGAAGACAGGAGTCAACACAAATCTACTCAGTTCAAAATCTTCTGAACCCCATAATTGTTCTAAACGGCGAGAAATACATATGGCAAGTCAAAAATCACTGGCTGTGTGTAAAATATCAGGTGATATGTCTATGGAATCTGGACATCACAAACGAAGATGTCTCGATGTGGAACATGACTCTACGTACACATTCATAATGATACACACATTTCTGTTCTGCATGTTAGGTTCAAAATTCCAATGTTTTTAAAATCAGATCTTAGTGCTCGCTACTGCTACATTGTGTAGCGGTAGTGAGCATGAGGATCTGGTTTAAATGAGCACTGAGATTCAAAATTAAAATCCACAGTAACCCAGCGCTACATGCAAAAAAACAGTATGTTCATCTCCTAAGTGACAGCAAACTCTGGTCAAAGTCTGTAGGAGACGGAAACCTGTGCTTCAGACAATTTGTATCAATCCATAGGTGCCTTATGCACAGCTACCTTAGCATGAATTATTTTGTTTGTTTGTTGTTTAACGCCGAGCTCAGCAATATTCCAGCTATATGACGGCTGTATGTAAAAAATCTAATCTGGGCCAGACAATCCAGTGATTGATGGCATAAGCATCGATCCACGCAATTGGGATACGATGACATGCATCAACCAAGTCAGTGATCCCGACCATTTGATCCTGTTAGTCGCCTCTTACAACAAACATAGTGGCCTTTTAGGGCAAGCATGGGTTGCTGAAGACCTATTCTACCTCGGATCTGATTTTTTATTAAGTTGTCTTGGGGAACAAATCTTTGACAATGATGAAGCCTTATGTTCATTTTCTTATTTTTGCTTTGAACCTTATCATGACCTAGTATGTCTCGAACATACATAAATGTATCTTAATACTTGTTTGATTGTTCAAAAGCATTAACTAACAGATTTAACATGCTTGCATATTAGAGTCACATTGATGATTGCCACAAATTCTATAAATCTGGAATATTGCTGAATGTGGTGTTAAACAACAAACAAAACCCAAATCCCAAGACAACTGAAACAGACCGTAAAACCTGCGCTGACGTGAAACACTGATATGTGCTGAGGTTGGGAGGGAGGACTGAGTTAGAAGGGGAGGAAGTTAGACATGGAAGTTCCCTGATTGTAATGCTACTACTGTCCAATACTGTAACAAGCCCAAGGGGTCATGTCACGGACTGTGCGTTGGCTGCTTGGTCGACTGACACTAAATGCTCTTTCGTCCTATGCTGTGTCCACCTCCTGCTCGTCAGCTTGTCGTCATCTCCGGATTCTGAAACAGACACAGGTCATCAGTACTCAGCTCCAACCAGATCATACCTTCCTGTTTTGCATCCTATTTGTTGGGGATTCATTCACTTGGAAATCTTTCTGGTTCTTTGTCATGTCATCATAAAATCCCATTGCTCAGTGGACTAGGTATGATGGGAAAGGCAATAGTCATAGATTATGAAAACATTTTCATATTATAAAACAAAAATCCTGGATCCTTTGACAAATATAATAACTGAAATAAAACATTGATGCAATTAATGTCACATTCAGAAACTTACCAGTAGAGTAGAGTGAGGAGAGAAAAGAGAGAGCGAAAGATCTCTAGAGGACACAGAGCGCCTGCACAAGGTCATGAGGACAGCTACAGTTGGGGAGAAGGTGGTCAATCTGCTATAGTAGTCATGCAGTGCTATCATGCAGAGGACACAAATCAAGGGCAGTATAGTCATACTAGGCCATGGTCAGCAAACATATGATGACTTATACCAAGCATGATCTTCTCTCAACATTTCAATAAATTGTAGATTCCTTATCACATGACGGTGCTACATCTTCCTGAATCATGGTTGTCCCTGGTGTTGACAGTTTGGGTATCATAATCATGACGCAAACAAAACAATTTCTACCTTTTTTGTTTATTATTCTGATTTCTTATTTACATATATATACATACATGTATAATATATACAGGATATTCCACTCAATTAAAAGAGTTCATGGACTTGTTTGAACTGAAAGTGTAGACGATAAGATCAATATTGTACAACATTTGACCTATTAAGTTTGGGTTGATAGAGTTGTTGTTATTGTTTAACACTGCACTCAGCAATATTCCAGCTATATGATTGTGGTCTGTAAACAATCAAGTCTAGGTCAGACAATCCAGTGATTGACATCATGAGCATCGATCTACGTCATTGGGATACAATGATAAGCATCTACCAAGTCAGTGAGTCTGACCAGCCAATCCCGTTAGTCGCCTTTTATGCCAAACATGGGTTGATGAAGACCTATTCAATCCCTATCTTCAAGGGTAGGGTTGATAAAAAGACACAGTTCAACATTACCAAAGAACCAAAACCACGGGATCATTTTCTACAGCTGACAGAGAGTCAATTTTCTAGTAATGAGTTTCAACATTATTCTAAAACTGTTTCATTCGTATCTTGGCATGTCGGCTCCACGTGAGAGTAAACTCACATGCCGGTGCCACTTACCAATTGGGTGAAAAACATGGGCATAGGTAAGGTGCTGACAAACCAAGGTTCATAATCAGGGTGAACCTGGGATCCAAACCCCAAACCAGCAGATCCTGGTGGCAAAGGCAGATAACTCTTCACAGAAAATTGCAGCACAAAGACTCACCTTGGACTCCAGTGCCATTAAAAGACATGTTTCCCTAGCTGGCCAATTCAAGCACTGATGTCTCACAAAGAATCAGTGTTTAGCCATCCATTTTGTTTGTTTGTTTGTTGTTTTACGCCGCACTCAGCAATATTCCAGCTATATGACGGCAGTCTGTAAATAATCGAGTCCAGACCAAACAATCCAGTGATTGATTGCATGAGCATCAATCCATGCAACTGGGATATGATGACATGCATCAACAAAGTCAGCAAGCCTGACCAATCGATCCCGTTAGCATGGTTAGTCGCCTCTTACGACAAGCATGGGTTGATGAAGACCTATTCTATCCCGGATCTTCACGGGTGTTTACCAATCCAAATATAAATATGTATTTAATATAAATACCTTCACATGGCTTGATCAAGATAAGACAGAAACAAAAGGGGTACAAAAGAGAGAAAACAAGAAAATATTTACACAACACACAAAATATTTTAGTGTACACATATATACAAAGATATTAATAAGCACACACACAAAAGATGACAGTATGAAACCGCTACATATACCCAGTATCATGCTGTACTGAGGTAAACAGAAATATCACAGTAAAAGTTCTAGATGTATGCTTGATGAAAGATGTAAAATATTACCCAAGTACATCCACAGATCAAAAAGTCTGGATAGTCACTGACAACGGTTTTAATGTTTCTATATATAGTTAGAGGGGCAAGCTTACTCAGTCATTGCTTAATCATTTCAGTTGGACGAAAAGTGTTTGAAATGTTACTATTTTTATAGGCAGAAGATACTAATGCATAAATTTAAGTCATTTTCTTACTCTGTAAAGGTCACATGACCAACTGCAAGCTTACTTTTCATGTCAAACTTTATCAGGTATTACAATAAAAAGTTATTTCATCTGTGTGTCATGATACAACTTCTTGTTTTCACTGGCAATGATAATCCCTACTACTCTGAAACTAGGTGCCAGTTTCTCAAGAGCAAGGAGAGAAGATGGTGGAGGGAGCAGGGAGAAAACTCAACATGCAGCCATGTTATTCTGGATGCCTGCTGTACACAAAGGTGTTAAAGAAATCAAATCTACTCTATTATTTCGTCGACTGCCCAAAACTAAAGTGTTAAACAAATGTCACTGCATGGGAGACTTACTGAAACGGTATTGTTAACAAGTGATTCCTCCTGAAATCATAATTCACAATATTAACCACAATATCGGTAATTCAAATCAACTTTATACAGATGTATTAATCATACACAGGAAAGACGTAACTAAAGCCATAGATCCATGTTGACAAATCCATTGTTTCTTTACGATATCAATATATGATCTTCAGTGACCTTTCAGTTATCTTTCATAACTCACCACTATTGTTAACAACAATAAATAATAGTTACACAAAATAGAATTCAATGTGCAAATGTTCAGGGGGTTAATTCTTCTATAGTTTGAACACCACTGATCGTTGCAAAAACAGGAAAGCAGCTAATTGTAGTGCTATCCTGACTTACCAACCATTGCTAGGGCTTATTAACAAGACTGATCTACTTCTTGAACCCTTCACTAACAAACACTGACATGCACGAGATGTACAGCTACAAAAGTCTGGTGGACCACCATGAAAGCTACAATACTACAGTTATCTGGTGGACTGTCATGCATGCTACATTATACTACAATACACCAGACAGAGATATATTTGTATGCATATGTATTGAAGGAGATGCTGCATACCCTGGCATCTAAAACCAAATGATTCAAATTACCCAACACAGAACTTCATCAAAATCAATTACATGAGTTATCTCCCTTTAATGCTGAACTTGTCATTGAAATGACAATATGAAAGAAGAAAAATGTTCACTTGTTTCACATTTACTTGTTGATTATCTGGAATTAAACAATTTTTGGTATGCATGGATTTGTTGGGTATAGTTGAATCTACTTCAATACGAGGTTAGTACATGAAAGCTGACTACAAAGCTGAGATTTCCCCCATGCAGCACCCTGGGACTGACGATGTCGTCAGCCGCTTCATCACCTGGAGGGACAGGAGCTGGCTCCCGACTGGCTGCTGTGATTTGTGCCGATACTGAGAGATGAGAACCCACTCTGACATGACTGTAGGCTGCTCATTGATCCTCTGCAACACAAATCAATATGTAGACATCAGTATACAATCTCAGTGAGGCTGGAAAAAATACTTGTCTTGGTTCTCATAATCATAAAATCCACCGCACATTTTTTTTTTTTTTCCAAGACCCAAGTCTTTAGATATTCAGCGTCTCAAACACATGACCCCGGCAGTAAAATCAGCGGTAGAAACTAACAGTTTCAGTCCACTTGTCCTTATAATGATAACATATAGCAAAACCCCTAAAAATGACAAATTACTACTGGTCCTTATGATACCTTTACTAGCGGGCAGTTTGGCGAGGACTACAGGACTAGTGCCAATTTCTAACACTGAAAATGCTACAATACTAAGAACAACATGATTTCACCGAAATTACTGTAAACAAAATTTGGTTACATACTAGCTTGAAAAACGCCCCACCAATAAAAACCATACCGCCCGCCTGCACTATATTTTCAAAAGTCATGCCTGAGAACCATTTCTTTTATTTTTTAAGCCAAAAAGCCAATCTTTCACTCTGACATGTTACTTGTTTTGAGGACACCTCTATAGGTCATGTCAGGTGAACTTTCTGATCAGCCAATCAGCAGCCAGGTTTCTAAATACTTGGTACAAGTGAGTGAAGCAATTACTACAAGCCTGTCCGATTTCTGTACCTTGACAATGAACTAAAACCAGAAGTTCCGAAAATAGAAAGTGTTTTTTTGTATTTCATACAACCTGCTGTTTCTGATGGGAGTGCCATTGAAGGAATACTTGTAGGATTTCATTTGTGCCAATCAAAACTTCTGAATTGAGATGCTACAAAAAAAGATCTGAATCATTTTACAAAGCTGACAGTGAGTGGCTCTAGAGCCCCCAGTCTTCAGTTAGAATGTGAGGTGGCTCACCTGAATGTAAGCTGGCTCACCTGAATGTAAGCTGAATGTAAGCTGGCCCACCTGAATGTAAGCTAAATGTAAGGTAAATGTAAGCTGGCTCACCTGAATGCTTCTGAAGGCAACAACTCTGTGTAGTACATGACCTTTGACTTGTGAGAGGTGAGCGGGAAGTCAAAGCTGGCCTTGGCAGAGTCGAAGTACTTCCACTGGAGAATGTAGCTACCTGCCTGGCTGGTGACATGTGTGCCCTGAATGTACACAAACAGTTGGGATGTGACTGTTACATCACTGCAAGTCAGGGGGTCATACAGCTCCCAGACAAACAAAGGTATGGTGTTGACAGACCACGGATCACAAACAGTTGGGATGTGACTGTTACATCACTACAAGTCAGGGGGGTCATACAGCTCCCAGACAAACAAAGGTATTGTGTTGACAGACCACGGATCACAAACAGTTGGGATGTGACTGTTACATCACTGCAAGTCTGGGGGGTCATACAGCTCCCAGACAAACAAAGGTATTGTGTTGACAGACCACGGATCACAAACAGTTGGGATGTGACTGTTACATCACTGCAAGTCAGGGGGTCATACAGCTCCCAGACAAACAAAGGTATGGTGTTGACAGACGTATCACAAATGGGGTGGAATGCAGACTGCTACAGAGAGTGGCTTGTGCCGTCATGCTGACAGTCACACTCAAGCACTATTGCGATCTCATTGACCACCATAAAAGTGTGAAAGTAGGAAACTTATTATTTGTTAATTCATGCTGCATACAGTCCACACATTTAAACTAACTAAATATAAAACGTTAACACACACCTTTAGAACATATGCTTATGATCAATTACAACTCTGTACTCTAGCAAGCAAAGAAAGAAGAGAGCATCATTTACTTTGATTTCCCCACCATTTTGTATACAAGCTGAGCGTGATGATGACCTTAAAGAGTCAGGACATCAACTGTTCTAAAGCTATGTTGATAGACAGTAGCCAATAACTCCCCGAGCTCACTCGGATCTGCTCACCTTATTCCGTTTCTGCTCCAGTGACTACACCGGTGTAGGCGTATCACATAACTGGACTTTTCTCTTATTTGTAAACAAACACACTTATTCTAAAATAGGAACAGACAATCCAAAGGCAAGCCTTTCCGTGATATAAAAACTTGTTTTGCATAATCATATGCATATACTACTACAACTGAAACAGTGAGGTACATGACAATATGGCTTTACATATCAAAGTGGCCGTATTGCTAGCTCTCCGTTGGACTTCAAAGACAGGTCGTGGAGGTTAAATATGCAAATGGAAATAGTTTGAAATAAGGGAAAGACAACAAAAATCTGAACATTTGTGCCATCGTTAGTATTTTCCCTTTCGTTATGTTAAGAGAATGATGAGTATGTTGTAGTCATATTTATTCCCAGTGAAGTCTCAAATTTCATTCCATCCAGTCATGTTAAAGAAGGTGAGTGTCTCCATCCCGACATTACATACAGTGAGTGTGAACCTGGACACTGTCTCCATCCTGACATTACATACAGTGAGTGTGTACCTGGACACTGTCTCCATCCCGACATTACATACAGTGAGTGAGTACCTGGACACTGTCTCCATCCCCACATTACATACAGTGAGTGAGTACCTGGACACTGTCTCCATCCTGACATTACATACAGTGAGTGAGTACCTGGACACTGTCTCCATCCTGACATTACATACAGTGAGTGAGTACCTGGACACTGTCTCCATCCCGACATTACATACAGTGAGTGTGAACCTGGACACTGTCTCCATCCTGACATTACATACAGTGAGTGAGTACCTGGACACTGTCTCCATCCCGACATTACATACAGTGAGTGTGTACCTGGACACTGTCTCCATCCCGACATTACATACAGTGAGTGTGTACCTGGACACTGTCTCCATCCCGACATTACATACAGTGAGTGAGTACCTGGACACTGTCTCCATCCCGACATTACATACAGTGAGTGTGTACCTGGACACTGTCTCCATCCTGACATTACATACAGTGAGTGAGTACCTGGACACTGTCTCCATCCCGACATTACATACAGTGAGTGAGTACCTGGATACTGTCTCCATCCCGACATTACATACAATGAGTGTGTACCTGGACACTGTCTCCATCCCGACATTACATACAGTGAGTGAGTACCTGGACACTGTCTCCATCCCGACATTACATACAGTGAGTGAGTACCTGGACACTGTCTCCATCCCGACATTACATACAATGAGTGTGTACCTGGACACTGTCTCCATCCCGACATTACATACAGTGAGTGTGTACCTGGACACTGTCTCCATCCTGACATTACATACAGTGAGTGTGTACCTGGACACTGTCTCCATCCCAACATTACATACAGTGAGTGTGTACCTGGACACTGTCTCCATCCTGACATTACATACAGTGAGTGTGTACCTGGACACTGTCTCCATCCCGACATTACATACAGTGAGTGAGTACCTGAACACTGTCTCCATCCCGACATTACATACAGTGAGTGTGTACCTGGACACTGTCTCTATCCTGACATTACATACAGTGAGTGTGTACCTGGACACTGTCTCCATCCCGACATTACATACAGTGAGTGTGTACCTGGACACTGTCTTCATCCCGACATTACATACAGTGAGTGTGTACCTGGACACTGTCTCCATCCCGACATTACATACAATGAGTGAGTACCTGGACACTGTCTCCATCCTGACATTACATACAGTGAGTGTGTACCTGGACACTGTCTCCATCCCGACATTACATACAGTGAGTGAGTACCTGAACACTGTCTCCATCCCGACATTACATACAGTGAGTGTGTACCTGGACACTGTCTCTATCCCGACATTACATACAGTGAGTGTGTACCTGGACACTGTCTCCATCCTGACATTACATACAGTGAGTGTGTACCTGGACACTGTCTCCATCCCGACATTACATACAGTGAGTGAGTACCTGGACACTGTCTCCATCCTGACATTACATACAGTGAGTGTGTACCTGGACACTGTCTCCATCCCGACATTACATACAGTGAGTGTGTACCTGGACACTGTCTCCATCCCCACATTACATACAGTGAGTGAGTACCCTGGACACTGTCTCCATTCTGACATTACATACAGTGAGTGAGTACCTGGACACTGTCTCCATCCTTACATTACATACAGTGAGTGAGTACCTGGACACTGTCTCCATCCTGACATTACATACAGTGAGTGAGTACCTGGACACTGTCTCCATCCTGACATTACATACAGTGAGTGTGTACCTGGACACTGTCTCTATCCCGACATTACATACAGTGAGTGTGTACCTGGACACTGTCTCCATCCCGACATTACATACAGTGAGTGAGTACCTGGACACTGTCTCCATCCCGACATTACATACAGTGAGTGTGTACCTGGACACTGTCTCCATCCTGACATTACATACAGTGAGTGAGCACCTGGACACTGTCTCCATCCCGACATTACATACAGTGAGTGTGTACCTGGACACTGTCTCCATCCTGACACTACATACAGTGAGTGAGTACCTGGACACTGTCTCCATCCCGACATATGTGGGGTGGCTCCATGATGCTGATGTCCACGCCGACCACCATGCTTTTGTCGATGTACTGAACAGATCCGATACCCCCTGTGGCGCTGCTCACATGGTGCTGATGGATGGGGTCGGTGGAGCGTGATGCCCGACACCGGAACACGGTAAACGTCACATCCCCCTTCAGGATGTCAAAGTCCCAGGTTATCACACATCCTTTCTGCGGAACTTGAATCAATTTCTGGAAGTCAATAAATTTGCATTGTTATATGCTGTTATGACATCACCTATTTTATACTACTCTAAAGAACTTCTTTGAGTGGCATTTAGAAGTTGGAATGGTAACTGAGTCAAAATTGTTATGGATGAGCAATTTCTTTATTACACTTGGGCGACGTTTCGGTGTAGATTCTAACACCGTTATCAAGCAAATGATGTACAAACTACTTACTTACTTACTTACTTTGGAGATTTAACGTGCGCTTTCCGACTGATGCGTATTTCGCACACGGGCCCGGCCAGGCCATTTAATGTGTTTCCGAAAGGGGCGAAGGTGGTCTGTGCAACCCAAGAGGGGGGTTTTAGGGGTTGCTTATATAGAATTTGGGAATTTTGAGATTTGGAATAGATGCCGATGGGATTGGGGAGGAGAACTAAGGGAGCTGGGTATGGTGGATGTTTGTTTGTTTATGTGATTTTGATTTGGTAGGTTATTGTGTTTTTAGATGCGTTTTATTAGTTCCGTTTTTATTAAGAATACGCCTAAGGCCTTGAAGTTTTCTAGTTTATTTTGTGGGTTTAGTATTGCTTCTAGAGTTAGAGCCTTGTTTAGATTGAGGGTGGTTTGTACAAACTAGGTATGAGCATGATATATATACATAACAATAGATAGATGTTTATATAACAGATAAGGTTGATGTACACTGATTGATTAGGTAGTTATGATAAGACAAGTTTATACAAGAGATAGGGTTGATGTACAGTAATTGATGTAAACATCTATCTATTGTTATGTATATATATCATGCTCATACCTAGTTTGTACATCATTTGCTTGATAACGGTGTTAGAATCTACACCGAAACGTCGCCCAAGTGTAATAAAGAAATTGCTCATCCATAACAATTTTGACTCAGTTACTCTAAAGAAGTCAAAGAACACAGTAGAAGAGTGCCATGACAGATAAACTATAGTCATATGAAAAAATTGGGTGTTCTTTCACTTCCCTTGTGTTGTATACTCCATCATGAAGCGTATGCGGACATCCTCATGTATAATGATACCTAACAGCACTGTTACCTCGTGTGGGTAGTCCTTGACTACGTGAGCAGTATGGTAGAGACTGTCAACAGAGAGAGGAGGTTCATCTGGAGACTTGTCCACTAGTTCTTCCTGGTAAAGTGACTTCGGGACCAGCCCGCCGTCAGGAACATCGCACTGTAACACCATGACAAACAATGATGTACTGGTAACTTAAACACCACTACACTACTCTATCACTTCAAGTCTTTCACAACAATACAATCTACTGAACTATTAAAACATGCTTGTAACAAATACAGCCAAAGCTGGTTCATCCAGATGGTACCGTTCCAAGTGATGCAGAGGGAGTGAATGGTAATGGGATATTGGGGACCTATTCTGGTCTGGAATCACGACAATGAGACAAACGTGGGGTATTGGGGGCCTATTCTTCTCCGGAATTACCACAGAGAGACAGGGATGGGGTACTGGGTGCCTTTTTTTCTCCAGAATTACCACAATGAGACAAGCATGGGGTACTGGGGACCTATTCTTCTCTGGAATTACCACAGAAAGACAAGCATGGGGAACCAAGGATTTATCTAGGATTCCGAACTCAGTGCTCTTGGCAGGCAAACTAGGGAAAACATTATTCTGTTAAAAATTGGGATTTCAAAGTTCTTACGTTTACTTAATTCAGAGGCATTTTAACATTGTATCGAAATTCAATACCATAAACCTAAGCAGAAAAGCCTATTTACTGTTCTTGTTTTCAGTGCTATCCAAGTCACCTTGGGAATTGTTACTGACATTTGCTGCAGACATGGAGTCGGATATCAGCTTCTGAGCAGATCTAGATAAATCACTTGTAACTATAGTGACCAATTAAACTTGAATGGCACTAAGAGTTTGATATACTTACAAAACAATCTCCACCAAGGAAGTCTGGAATATATTGGCTGTCTATAAACTCCACCAGGCCCCCTGCACTCTGGTAGTCATTCCCGCCGTATATCATGAACTTTTTGCGGGTATTCTCATCAATGAAGGGACTGACCAGGGTCCACAACACTGGGAAGACACGGGGAGCCCGTACAATGAGCAGCCGACCCATGGTCTCAGGGTAGTTAGCCTCCACAATCTCGATAATGCGCAGCAGGGCTCGGACACCAGGCCGCCATACATGCCTCATGCTCAGTCCGTCTAAGTCAACTATACACGTACAGGCACTGGAACAGAAGAACAAGGCTGTCACTAATCTGACCAACAGTAATAACCTTACACTTTCCAATTACTCAATTTTAGTAAAATCTAAATATTTTTTACATTTGTATACTTATCCTGCATTACTCCGTATTGCATTTACTGCTATGTTTGACAGAGAGACGAACTGTGTGAGATCCAGCTGCTGAAGAAAGTTGTCCCAACCAGCCCAGGAGGCAGCGCCCTCTCACAGTCGGCACGTGACCCGGAAGTCATGACGTCACACCAAAAGACATAACTGCTTTAAACATAACATCTGAAACTTCGTGGGGAGGTAGCGTAGCGAAAGGGAGGGCACTTAGACTTCGTAATGCAGGATAAGTATACAAATGTAAAAAATATTTAGATTTTACTAAATTTTTTAACTTATCCTGCATTACTCCGTATTGCATCTTTATCAGACGGCTTGGCCGGTGGGCATACCTGCAGATGTGAACCATATTAAACCCTCGTCAAGGTACGATGAATCCGCACCGCATACAAGTGATGACCGGAACATCTACGACCATTCCTGTCTTCAGGAAACAAGAGTCGATGCAAAAACGAAACGCCCGAATAGGTAACCGAAATACAATGAGGCGTGTAGCCAAAATATATAACTTACCGAAGAGCGAAAGCGAAACGCAGTAGAACCCTCTAATCTGAGGTGATAAACACCAGAGAGTTCGACGGGCCCCGCTCGGGGAATCGAAGAATCAGCGGCGTCGGCGGCAAAATCTACGACCAATCCCAAGAGCGAATGCGAAACGCAGGAGAGCCCTCTAGGCTGGAGGCAAGGAACACCGGGGAGGTCGACGGGCACCGCTCAGGTATCAGAGAAGCAGCGGCGTTGGCGTCGGCGCCGGTGTCCACATCTACTACCATTCCTGTCGTCAGGAAACGAGAGTTGATGCAAAAAGTAAAACCCGGATAGGTGACAGCAATAGAATGAGTCGGGTAACCCAAAACTAAAACTGACCTAAGAGCGAATGCGGAACGCAAGAGAGCCGTCTCGTCTGGGGTGATAAACACCAGAGAGGTCGACGGGCCCCACTCAGGGTATCGGAGAATCAGTGGCGTCGGAGATAGATGACCTGTTGGGCTACAACCAGGGACCAAAACTGTGAACGCCGGCGACAACTTTCAAGGCTACATCACGGAAGTAGTGGTTGGTGAAGGCGGTGTCCGATCGCCACGAACAGGCTTCCCTGAACGACGGGATGGAACAGTATACCGTGAAGAACCAGTGTAAATACGATCGCCCTGATCTCATTTTTTTTCAGGTAATAGCCTTTGGGGGGAGGGTCCAATCCGGCGGCTCATACGCTTTAAGGATGACCGCCCGGAGCCACAGGGAAAAGTTTTCCGGCTGACCAACGACAGCGACGAAGGGGAGACCTGCAGAAAAAGGTGTTTCCTAGACTTGCGGCAGTCTTTAGATCGTAGAATAACCTTCAGTGCCCTTACTGGGCATAATGACGCTCATCCTCATCCTCGGCACCCACACTGGACGAGGGGGGAGGGGACAAGGAATGATCTATCAGGCTGTCCTGGGAGTTGAGTCTTTACGCTGACGTCCCAGTACGGTCCATGATGAACGGTGCCCTGGGTACCGCATTCGAACCGGGCATGGGAGACGTCGAGGGCGTGCTGTACATGGACTCGAGCGGCAGTAGTCAAAACCAGTAGAAACACCCGTCTTCTACTTAAGGTCGTAGAAGGAAGACGAGGGGAGTGGTTCGAAGGGCGTTGAAGACCACATTCAGATCCAACGCAGGCGGTCCGAACTTGGTATTCAGGTCTTCAAGACTGAACGAGCGCAGCCAGGCCCGTAGGTCGGGAATTTTCGTCTTTCTCCGATCGTCCGGGATGGCCAGAACGGAGTAGATGGCGACCAGGTATGTGGGGGTGGTAAGCCCTTCAACCGACGGGTGCTACACAAGTACAGAAGGAACTGATCCAGAATCTGCGGTGACGCTGTCATCGGATCCTGGTGTTTGTCAGAACAAAATGCCTGGAACAAGCATCATTTATCAGCATACAGTCCCCCTGTAGATGGACGGTGGGCTGAAGCAATAGCCTTGGTCGCTCTAGCCGAATAGCCCTTGGCTTTCTGCATGTGTGTCAGGCGTGCAGACGATAACATGAGGGTATGAGGGTGTGGCAACAGACCGTGTGGTTGGACCACACCGGAAGTTCCAGGGGTTGTCTCTGGCTATGTTTCGGAGGTCGATAACCCAACTTCTGGCTGACCAATAAGGCGAGACCAAAGTCAATGGCAGGGGTCGAGTGGCCTGGATCTCTGAAGAACCGTGGGAGGGAGAACCGGAGTCGGAAAAGCGTACGCGCGTAAGCCTTCTCAGGAACGATGGAAGGCTTCGACTGCCACAGTGGTCGTATCCGGCACAGGTGGAATGGAAGACGACTGCTGGCCACATTCAGATATGATGCAAACAGTTCTAGCCTTGGGGTGTCGACCGTTTCAAATAGTCTGGCCCGAGGCGCCGGAGAGCGTGAGGCGTCGGAGAGCTTGAGGCGCCTGGAACGCCGAAGATTGTGATTCTCGGGGGCGCCGGTCGAGTTTGTAGCGCCGGGAGAGGGGCGAGAACTCTGGGTCCGCAAACACCACACTACGGTGATGTAGTCAGTGGACACGATCAACAGGGCGTGACCGAGAATGCACTGTCAGCAAGTGCCGTCCTGGATAAGCATTTATCTCGAGGCTGTTGCTGTGCCTATGGTGTTGATCTCTGGATCACAGGTGGTCACAATGTGGGCTGGCGTGGGCCACTAGCCACTGACAAGGTGGCAGGGGAGGTAGTCAGCAACAGGGGTCTGCGATTGCGTACCGTCGGTACGATTCGGAAAAAGGTGTGATCGCCTGCGAGCCAACCTCAAGTAGACGAAGTAAACCAGCTTCACAATCGACCGCCGGGGCATCGACGTAACCGGGTAGTAGGAAGTCGAGGCAATATGGCCATTGCACGAAGTAATGAGATCGCTTTCATCCCTGAAGCGGCGTATAAGTACTCCTGTTCTTATATCGAGGTGACGATGGAGGACGACAACACGATACGAGGCAGGTATGCAACAGGGGTCAGTGGGACGGCCGAGGGACTTTAAGTATCAAATCGACACTGTGTCCGGTAGTCAAGGCGGAAGATAGGAAGGTGTCGTAGTCGAAAAGATCAAACCGGACGAAGGAAGGCGATCTTTTCCATCCCTTGAATGCCTATAGGCGCTATCGTTCTTATAGCGAAGGGTTGATGAAACAAGGTTCCTCGTGACAGCCGTGTTGGTAGAGGAGGTCTATTGTTTCCAACATCCGTGCATGGATGGACTGCGACAGGCGCCTGGTTGAGTGGTATCACCAAGCGTACAGGTAGACATGGAAACCAATCTGTAGAAATACATGGCAAGTTGACCTAAATCCGGTCGGAGTTGTTGACAGTCCGAGTACTTGACACGTGACATGTAAATCACTCTGCGCAGTAGCCGAGAAAACCGCCTTGAGTCGGAACTGAGGTGCAAACTCCACACACAGACAATCCTCAATGAACTGTGTGAGAGACGATCAAGTGGTGTACCCGAGTTTTGCGATAAAACACGGAACCCCATGGGCGTCGTGGAAAACCCGGGGAGCGCCGAGGAAGAGTCTCTCTCAGGAACGCTGGCGCTGGGGTAGGGTAGAACAGCGTTGATGTCTGCGATGTCGACGAAGTAAACTCTTTGTAAGTGGATGTCGTCGTCGAATCTGATACAGACGCTGTTCACATGACGCTCTGTTTCGATGGAAACCCGCAGGTCATCTCTCCGGAATCATTGCGCTTTAAACGACGTGATTATGGATAACGTCTCAGTGGGCAAGTTGAATCAGACCAACTGTCTATTGGTTGAAATGATTCCATCCAGGAAGTAGAACGATAGTCACGATCCCGAAGACCGACGGGAGAGTAGCGACAGGAGCGGCGACAGTTGTTTCACCATGCTTCTCCGTGTGACGAGTTATGAGACGGCAGCAAGAGAAGAGGGCAGTGGCGCCGGGGAGGCGATTGCCGATGGTGCCCCTTAAGCCGCAGTAGAAGATCGGATGGTCGGCTCGTTGATCTGAGCTTGATAAAGCTTGTTGATCTGAAGCTTGTTGAGCGCCGAAGACATCAGAGGATGCGGAGGCGCCGGAGCGCGGAGACATCAGCGGCGCCGAGTCATCAGAGGCGCCGAGTCATCGGAGGCGCCGGGAGCGCCGAGTCATCAGCTTGTCATGAACAAGTCATGAAGCTTGTTGAGCGCCGAGACATCAGCGGCGCCGAGTCATCGGAAGCGCCGAGTCATCGGAGGCGCCGGGAGCACCGAGTCATCGGAGGCGCTGGGACATCGGAGGCGTCGGGAGCGCCGTGTCATCAGAGGCGCCGAGTCATCAGAGGCGCCGAGACATCAGAGGCGCCGTGTCATCAGAGGCGCCGAGTCATCGGAGGCGCCGAGTCATCGGAGGCGCCGTGTCATCAGAGGCGCCGGGAGCGCCGTGTCATCAGAGGCGCCGAGACATCGGAGGCGCCGGGGGCGCCGTAGACATCAGCGTTGACGGTGTTGGAGACCGTGAACGGTCGTATGTCGTGCCAGGGGAGGCAGACTCTACGTTGGGAGCGCTGGAGCCGCCGGTGGAGTAGGAGACCATGAACGGTCGTATGTCGTGCCATGGGAGGCAGACTCTACGTTGGGAGCGCTGGAGCCGCCAGTGGAGTAGGAGACCGTGAAAGGTCGTATGTCGTGCCATGGGAGGCAGACTCTACGTTGGGAGCGCTGGAGCCGCCGGTGGAGTAGGAGACCATGAACGGTCGTATGTCGTGACATCGGAGGCGCCGGGGGCGCCGTAGACATCAGCGTTGACGGTGTTGGAGACCGTGAACGGTCGTATGTCGTGCCAGGGGAGGCAGACTCTACGTTGGGAGCGCTGGAGCCGCCGGTGGAGTAGGAGACCATGAACGGTCGTATGTCGTGCCATGGGAGGCAGACTCTACGTTGGGAGCGCTGTAGCTGCCAGTGGAGTAGGAGACCGTGAACGGTCGTATGTCGTGCCATGGGAGGCAGACTCTACGTTGGGAGCCGCCGTGAAGCTCCGCTGAGCGCTGCTGCCGTCAACGTAGGTGGGGGTCGACGAGCACGTTGAGCGAGGTGTGTCCTGGATACTCGCATGAGCTGAAGGATCACAGCGACGAATGACTGCAACATCGGCACTGCCTTGTGAAAGTACAGGGCGTCGTACAATCACGGCAGAAAGGGACGGCCCAGGCCAGATTTGTTCCCGCGGCAACAAGTGCAGCGAGGCAGAAAATCTGGAATTTAAGCAAAACATAACTATGTGGCAAAGCCACAAAGTGCGGGAAGCATAATGTGTGGCCAATCACAAAGTATGGGAAGCATAAAGTAACTCAAAAACAGTATATTTTATTAAAGTTTATGAGATAAACAAGTATGCTAAAAGGGAGCGAAAAGGCAAAGCCTTAAGCAAACACGTAACCATGTGGCAAAACCACAGAGTACGGGAGACATAATGTTACTCATAAACTTCGTATTATATTGAAGTTTATGAGAAGAAACAATTACGCTTAGAGGTAGCGAAAAGGCAAGGCTTTAAGCACACCAAAACAACATACATAAATGTAATGTATTACCCAAGCCAAAGAGAGAATTCAAAACGCAGAACACGACATTACGTGGCCACGTGGTGAATGGCCAAAATGGCGGGAAAGAAAACAAAATGGCGGGAACAACATTGCGCCCGTAAATTACTGTGACGTGAGCCACAGACGAGCGATAAACGTTACAATTTACGAATGGGAAGACCCTAAGGTCACGGCCCATAACAGGTAACAATGTAGCAGCATATAATGAATGTAGAAACACGCAAAATATAAAAAACAAATAATAAGCTTTAATTTCCACAAGGGATACAAAGTACGTCCGTCCGTGGAGGTGACAAAGCAGTTATGTCTTTTGGTGTGACGTCATGACTTCCGGGTCACGTGCCGACTGTGAGAGGGCGCTGCCTCCTGGGCTGGTTGGGACAACTTTCTTCAGCAGCTGGATCTCACACAGTTCGTCTCTCTGTCAAATATAGCAGTAAATGCAATACGGAGTAATGCAGGATAAGTTAAGAAATTCAATTAGTAAGAAGAACAGTTTTCAAAACACTTTGTGAGAATAACATTTGCCATGCTAACTGAAAATAATACATCCTTACTGACGTGAGTCGGGAAACACCCTACTGATAATATTTACATGACCATATTTAGTCTGTATCGTAATATGAAAGGATCGGGTGTTCTTTAACTTCTTTTCAGTTGCATACATTCGCTCATGGAAAGTACTCTCAAAATTGATAAATTGAGAAATAGCCTCAAAGAAATAGACAGTCCTAGCACGCTTCAAGACGTTCAATCATGTTGTTTGACCACTAATCCAAATTTTGAAGCAGTTCAGTTGAGCAGCTGAAGATGACACACAGAGACTGTCTCACTTTCACATGTGGAACTCATTACAATGTCGAGACCAAGATTGGGCTTAAGCTGTTGAGTCCCCCATCAGCCTCCTATCTCTTAGTAGCCTGACAGCTGGCCTTGAGCTGATCGCGGAGAGGCAGAGAGTGTGTGGGTGATGCATTAGGCAGCATCATAGGCAGCAATATTACAGCTATATCATGGCAGCCTGTAAAACTAGCGGCGTTAGGCAAGGTAAACTAGTGGTCAATAGAGTGATGACTTATTCACACTGATCTTTCATGTAACAGTAGTAACTTGTGTCTCTTCTTCAAACCACTGTCTTCATTCCAGGTCATGTTCTACCCTAGAATCCCCACCACTGCCGGGTGCCCCGTCTAATCTTGATCATACACATGCTGATATCTTCCTGCCTGGGAGCCCCATCCAATCGTCATCCTACACAAGGTGATATCTACCTGACTGGGTGCCCCATCCAATCTTCATCCTACACAAGGTGATATCTACCTGACTGGAAGCCCCATCCAATCTTCATCCTACACAAGGTGATATTTACCTGACTGGGTGCCCCGTCTAATCTTGATCATACACATGCTGATATCTACCTGACTGGGAGCCCCATCCAATCTTCATCCTACACAAGGTGATATCTACCTGACTGGGTGCCCCGTCTAATCTTGATCATACACATGCTGATATCTACCTGACTGGGAGCCCCATCCAATCTTCATCCTACACAAGGTGATATCTACCTGACTGGGTGCCCCGTCTAATCTTGATCATACACATGCTGATATCTACCTGACTGGGAGCCCCATCCAATCTTCATCACACACAAGCTGATATCTACCTGACTGGGTGCCCCGTCAAATCTTGTTCATACACATGCTGATATCTACCTGACTGGGAGCCCCATCCAATCTTCATCCTACACAAGGTGATATTTACCTGACTGGGTGTCCCCGTTTTGACGTGGCATGTGCAGCTCTCCTCAAACCTTCTTCATTCACATACAAAACCTGAAGTGTCAAGGCAACACTGTAAATATACTGTAGGGACTGTTAGATGCTATGCATGTAAGCACGACTCCAGACTACTTTTTTAAAAATCGAGTTCAGCTCCTTTATTCTTTCATGTACTGCATAAGGCTAAAAATACCATAAAGTCTCCTACATAATTATACTCACATGTCGCAGAATAGCTTCTTCCCCTACTGACTTCATCAAGCCCTTTACATCCATCTGACCCATTCTCAGAATGTACAACGGGCGATCCTCTGGAAGAAATGAGGCAATCAGTGAGAAAATGGCTTGATTCAGGACCAACTTCTGTAACTTAGACTCTTAATATACTGTAGACCTGGGATAATCAAGTACCGTATTCGACGTAATAAGCGCCCCGCTCTAATAAGTGCCCACGGCGATATTTGCTGATATATTGGCTAGTGAACAAGCCCAATTTGCATCCCTTCAGATTGATCAATGTACAAAGGACTTATTTATTCGCGTATAATAAGCACTCGTGTGTTATATACACCCTCAATTATGGGCAATTAAATTCTGGAAAAATAAATCTGTCGCATATAAACACTTCAGGCTGTCAGCAAAAACAACGAAATTTATCTTTCATCTATGTTTTTTTTCACCAAAATAATATTCTAATAAGAGCCTCCTATGTCTAATTTTGAGAGCGCCCCGGGCGCTTATTACGTCGAATACGGTATATGTTGCCTTGTCCCTACTTTGAGACAGTGTTGATAAAATACCATAGTTCTGATAGGAATTCCATTATGACCATAAAACTTACATTGTTTCAAATAAATTTTCAAGATTATTGACTTGGAGTTAAACAATGTCTCAATGCATATGACAATCTGTTATCTCGCCACAAAGTTTTAAGTGACACGCAGTTGGTGTGTACCTTTATCACAGTAATGCCATCCACCAGGGTAGTATTTCTTGATGACTGGAGGTATTTCGTATGTGTCTAATAGCCTGTCGATATTGTGTAACTTCCTCCATGCTAGCGAGTGCACCAGCATCTCACGGGCTTTCTCCACGTTGAAGTCCCGTGCTCGCAGAAACCTCAGTATATGGGCATCTTTGGGGATCTGGGTGAAGAATGAACCACATGGTTAGGACTATATCAAAATCTATAGAAACAAAATCACATTGTTTGACAACAGTCTATCAGTATTTAATAGATTGTCATTACAGCTCTAACACCAAACATAGACGTGAGTTAAAATACAAATATCGTTAAAAAACCCCGCCTTTTTACATGTTGTATGTTCATTATATTTTCATACACATCAAAACTATACATACATACATAGAGGCATTTAAACTACTTTTAAAGCAACTCATGACTCATGTAGTAAGTGAATGTTGTTCAATGCCACAGTCCAACACATTACACACTGACAGGATCATACAGGTCACACATCACAGGATCATACAGGTCACACATCACAGGATCATACAGGTGACACATCGCAGGATCATACAGGTGACACATCACAGGATCATACAGGTCACACATCACAGGATCATACAGGTCACACATCACAGGATCATACAGGTGACACATCGCAGGATCATACAGGTGACACAGCACAGGATCATACAGGTGACACATCACAGGATCATACAGGTCACACATCACAGGATCATACAGGTGACACATCACACAGGTGACACATCACAGGATCATACAGGTGACACATCACACAGGTAACACATCACAGGATCATACAGGTCACACATCACACAGGTGACACATGAAAGGATCATACTGGCGACACATGACACAGGATCATACAGGTGACACATCACAGGATCATACAGGTGACACATCACACAGGTGACACATCACAGGATCATACAGGTGACACATCACACAGGTGACACATGAAAGGATCATACTGGCGACACATGACACAGGATCATACAGGTCACACATCACAGGATCATACAGGTGACACATCACACAGGTAACACATCACAGGATCATACAGGTGACACATCACACAGGTGACACATCACAGGATCATACAGGTGACACATCACACAGGTAACACATCACAGGATCATACAGGTCACACATCACACAGGTTACACATGAAAGGACCATACTGGCGACACATGACACAGGATCATACAGGTGACACATCACGGGATCATACAGGTGACACATCACACAGGTGACACATCACAGGATCATACAGGTCACACATCACACAGGTAACACATCACAGGATCATACAGGTGACACATCACAGGATCATACAGGTGACACATCACAGGATCATACAGGTGACACATCACACAGGTGACACATCACAGGATCATACAGGTGACACATCACACAGGTGACACATCACAGGATCATACAGGTCACACATCACACAGGTAACACATCACAGGATCATACAGGTGACACATCACAGGATCATACAGGTGACACATCACAGGATCATACAGGTGACACATCACACAGGTGACACATCACAGGATCATACAGGTGACACATCACACAGGTAACACATCACAGGATCATACAGGTCACACATCACAGGATCATACAGGTCACACATCACACAGGTGACACATGAAAGGATCATACTGGCGACACATGACACAGGATCATACAGGTCACACATCACAGGATCATACAGGTGACACATCACACAGGTAACACATCACAGGATCATACAGGTGACACATCACACAGGTGACACATCACAGGATCATACAGGTGACACATCACACAGGTAACACATCACAGGATCATACAGGTCACACATCACACAGGTGACACATGAAAGGACCATACTGGCGACACATGACACAGGATCATACAGGTGACACATCACGGGATCATACAGGTGACACATCACACAGGTGACACATCACAGGATCATACAGGTCACACATCACACAGGTAACACATCACAGGATCATACAGGTGACACATCACAGGATCATACAGGTGACACATCACAGGATCATACAGGTGACACATCACAGGATCATACAGGTGACACATCACACAGGTGACACATCACAGGATCATACAGGTGACACATCACACAGGTAACACATCACAGGATCATACAGGTCACACATGACACAGGATCATACAGGTCACACATCACAGGATCATACAGGTGACACATCACACAGGTAACACATCACAGGATCATACAGGTGACACATCACACAGGTGACACATCACAGGATCATACAGGTGACACATCACACAGGTAACACATCACAGGATCATACAGGTCACACATCACACAGGTTACACATGAAAGGACCATACTGGCGACACATGACACAGGATCATACAGGTGACACATCACGGGATCATACAGGTGACACATCACACAGGTGACACATCACAGGATCATACAGGTCACACATCACACAGGTAACACATCACAGGATCATACAGGTGACACATCACAGGATCATACAGGTGACACATCACAGGATCATACAGGTGACACATCACACAGGTGACACATCACAGGATCATACAGGTGACACATCACACAGGTGACACATCACAGGATCATACAGGTCACACATCACACAGGTAACACATCACAGGATCATACAGGTGACACATCACAGGATCATACAGGTGACACATCACAGGATCATACAGGTGACACATCACACAGGTGACACATCACAGGATCATACAGGTGACACATCACACAGGTAACACATCACAGGATCATACAGGTCACACATCACAGGATCATACAGGTCACACATCACACAGGTGACACATGAAAGGATCATACTGGCGACACATGACACAGGATCATACAGGTCACACATCACAGGATCATACAGGTGACACATCACACAGGTAACACATCACAGGATCATACAGGTGACACATCACACAGGTGACACATCACAGGATCATACAGGTGACACATCACACAGGTAACACATCACAGGATCATACAGGTCACACATCACACAGGTGACACATGAAAGGACCATACTGGCGACACATGACACAGGATCATACAGGTGACACATCACGGGATCATACAGGTGACACATCACACAGGTGACACATCACAGGATCATACAGGTCACACATCACACAGGTAACACATCACAGGATCATACAGGTGACACATCACAGGATCATACAGGTGACACATCACAGGATCATACAGGTGACACATCACAGGATCATACAGGTGACACATCACACAGGTGACACATCACAGGATCATACAGGTGACACATCACACAGGTAACACATCACAGGATCATACAGGTCACACATCACAGGATCATACAGGTCACACATCACACAGGTCACACATGTAAGGATCATACTGGCGACACATGACACAGGATCATACAGGACCAACATAACACAAGTGGCACATGACACAGGATCAAACAGGTGACACATCACAGGATCATACAGGTGACACATCACACAGGTGACACATCACAGGATCATACAGGTGACACATCACATAGGTGACACATCACAGGATCATACAGGTCACACATCACACAGGTGACACATCACAGGATCATACAGGTCACACATCACAGGATCATACAGGTCACACATCACAGGATCATACAGGTCACACATCACAGGATCACACATCACAGGATCATACAGGTAACACATCACACAGGCGACACATCACAGGATCATACAGGTGACACATCACAGGAACATACAGGTTACACATCACAGGATCATACAGGTCACACATCACAGGATCATACAGGTCACACATCACAGGATCATACAGGTCACACATCACATGATCATACAGGTCACACATCACAGGATCATACAGGTCACACATCACAGAATCATACAGGTGACACATCACAGGATCATACAGGTTACACATCACACAGGATCATACAGGTCACAGATCACAGGATCATACAGGTCACACATCACAGAATCATACAGGTGACACATCACAGGATCATACAGGTCACACATCACACAGGTCACAGATCACAGGATCATACAGGTCACAGATCACAGGATCATACAGGTCACACATCACAGGATCATACAGGTCACATATCACACAGGATCACACAGGTCACACATCACACAGGATCATACAGGTCACACATCACAGGATCATACAGGTCACACATCACACAGGTGACACATCACAGGATCATACAGGTCACACATCACACAGGTGACACATCACAGGATCATACAGGTCACACATTACACTTGATCATACAGGTCACACATCATAGGATCATACACGTCACACATCATAGGATCATACACGTCACACATCACAGGATCATACAGGTCATACATCTCAGGATCATACAGGTCACACATCTCAGGATCATACAGGTGACACATTACACAGGATCATACAGGTCACCCATTGCAACTAACTGATCCCAATTTCAGGTGCTATTATGAAAAGTATGAGGTACTTGGAGACCTGTCCTGCTGTGGGGTGAAATAGGGTTTCATGTTGCAGTCAAGGTTATTGCTCTGATACAGCGTCATAAATGGGGATGGCATATCTGTGATCCAATTAATAAAGACTAACGGCATAAGCCTGTACCTTCCCCTTGTGTGTTTTCTGGAGCCACTGTCGGAGTCTGATAAGTTGACTCTCCTCTACTGGTGTTAGAGCGCCCAGGAACCGCTGGATGTAGTCGTCGTCTAGCTTGCCGCGTGGCTCCACCGGGGGCACTCGCACCTCTGTCACTACAACAAGGGGCATATTATCATCATAATCACAGTCCGTGCTAAATACTTTTGGGTCTAATCGATCCAACTTGGCTCTTGGCATAATGTTTGGTACATTTTAGTGTTATTGTATGGACTTTTTTTAGCTGACCTTCCTTGACCGAACAGAAAATGACTAGACTTTGGCCTTGGGACTAGTCGCAAAAGCCACAGACTGTAATCAGTGTGGTACTTCAATACTACATTTCTTCTGGTTATGGGTCCAACACAGGGAGGCTGGATAGCCAGGTCACACGCTGTAACCAACTGTGAGATCTCTTGTGACAAGGTACTGGGGACCTGCCCTGGAATCACCATGGGGGCACCATGAAACTTATCATGAGCTCTTAAACTTCAACTATTGCAAATTTCCCAAGACAAATTCTTCACAGTGAATAACATTTTCATCCATAAGCAATGATAAGGTAGAGAATTTATGGATGTCAACTTCAACTTCTTTACAGAGTATATACATACTCCTTCATCAGGTGAATAAATCCTATGAGGCAGAGAACATATATATGTACCTGTAAAAACAACAAAAGTTATAAGATAACAAAGGTGGAAACGTAACATGGGGAGCCAATAGATAATTGGCGCTGTAGATAATTAGCAATGGACAAAGAGAAGCCAACACTTAACACGTAATTAAAGAAGTTGACATTAAATAAATTCTCTTCCTTATGTGTATCACTTCTAACATCATCCTGAGGCAAGGGTGTTAACTGACCATAATAGTCCAGTTTTCACCCTTGCTGAACTAGGCTGGTATAATGGAATTACATGTTGGTTGGACTAACGAGTCTATGCATAGTCAACTCAAATCGAAATCCGGTAAGTAAACTGTTGTGCAGATTTCGGTCGATTGCATGATTTGCAACATGTGCAAAGCATGTGCACCACCAACTCGTTGTCAACAGAACTTTCCAAGTCTTTTCATGTTTTTTATCAAGATGCTCACGTGATTTGATGCCCTTCGCGATGTAAAACCCATTTCATCACAATATAAATCTTGATTATCGATCAGATCGTCTTGACTGGGCGCCACCATTTTGTTTGAAACAAATGCAAGTGATACGTGAGGTGGAATCTGATTGATCCATAGGAGAGGCTTATATAAAAGAATAACTCGTAATAACCACTGGTGGTGCTACAATTGAGCCCAGGAATTCCAGCCTAGTTCAGCAAGGGTGGAAACTTGACTTTTAAAGTCAGTTAACTCCATTGCCTCTGGAAGATGCACGTCTAAATGCCTTTCGGAGACTTGATTTTCACCCATATTTACATACTTCACTACATATTCTATATATGTTTATGACTACAGATTATTTCCTGCCATGAACACGTTACCTTCTGAGTCGGGGGATGAAATGCTGCCTCTGTGTATGGTGGCAGCAGTGGCCCCCAGGATGAGGCTGGCCTGGCTGTGTTGGCTGTGCTGGCTGCTGACGCTGTCGGAGCGACTCCGTAAGCCACTGTCCTGAGATGGGGCATCCTCCACTGTGGCTGCCTTCAGCTTGGGGTCGTTCCAAGGGGGAATGTGGGTGATGCCCTGAGACAACAGCTCGTTGATGTAATACTCAATCACCTCCTTACCCTGGGGACAACAGTTAGAAACATTGTAAATGTGTTATGTATTTACACAATCATTAGACATGTTAGAATCAATCTTCTCAAAGATATTTCAATTGTTTCCAACACGGTTACATTTTTACACAAGCATTAGACATGTTAGAATCAGTATTCTCAAAGATATTTCAATTGTTTACAACACGGTTGCATTTTTACACAAGCATTAGACATGCTAGAAACAATATTCTCAAAGAAATTTCAATTGTTCCAATACAGTCACTATTGACTGACACAGGTTAGTTTCTATTGCTGTCACAGTGAATGTATGTCCAGCCAAAACTGAAATACACCATTGATTGGGATTGGCAGAGTTCATTCTTTGCTGAGTCACTGCATCATTGGCGCATTCAATTTTCAAATCGTGCCCATGATGGCGCACTGTGTTTGAATTATTTTCAATTTAATAAAACAAATAAAGTATCCCGATACCAAAACAATGCAAGTCTTTTTATTGTAACCTCGCTAAAACTCCATATCATGCACTCACAAATACTGCATAACAGTATACATGGTTATAGTGATCCCTATGTGGCTTGTTTAAAGCTGTATCAGGGTCTTGTTCTCTGCACACTGTTAAGCATTAATAATATACAATGCGATGCCTAAGAAAAGCTGTCAGTTAACTGCATTTTATACCGAGCTCGATCCTTGGTCCCTATTGCCAGTAGTAGAAAATCTTATTTCAAGATGTATATTTTCAATACAGGCTGTATGTTTTATACAACAGTAACCATGGTAACTGACTGGCCACATATTTCAACATTTGCAATATGACCTAAGCAGTGTGAAGTATGTTATATCACTAATGTAACAGTCAGTGACTGTTGTTAAGGCAGAATGAAGAAGGTTATATCACAAATGTTACAGTCAGTGACTGTTGTTAAGGCAGAATGAAGAAGGTTATATGACCAATGTAACAGTCAGTGACTGTTGTTAAGGCAGAATGAAGAAGGTTATATCACCAATGTAACAGTCAGTGACTGTTGTTAAGGCAGAATGAAGAAGGTTATATCACCAATGTAACAGTCAGTGACTGTTGTTAAGGCAGAATGAAGAAGGTTATATCACTAATGTAACAGTAAGTGACTGTTGTTCAGGCAGAATGAAGAAGGTTATATCACCAATGTAACAGTCAGTGGCTGTTGTTCAGGCAGAATGAAGAAGGTTATATCACCAATGTAACAGTCAGTGACTGTTGTTAAGGCAGAATGAAGAAGGTTATATCACAAATGTAACAGTCAGTGACTGTTGTTAAGGCAGAATGAAGAAGGTTATATCACTAATGTAACAGTCAGTGACTGTTGTAAGGCAGAATGAAGAAGGTTATATCACAAATGCATGTCATTTATGAGACTTAACAGGGTGGTGTTATTGATTGTCTAGGAGACAAATAAGCCATTACGCCAGCTGTCCAACCTTCAACACAAACTTCGTGATGCATTGACATAATTAGGGTTACACACTGCACACAGATATCAATGTTCATCCCCACTCTACAATGTAGACAACATGACATACACACTGCACACAGATATCAATGTTCATCCCCACTCTACCATGTAGAAAACATGACCTACACACAGATATCAATGCTTATAATCCCCACTCTACCATGTAGACAACATGACCTACACACTGCACACAGATATCAATGTTCATCCCCACTCTACCATGTAGACAACATGACATACACACTGCACACAGATATCAATGTTCATCCCCACTCTACCATGTAGACAACATGACATACAGACTACACACAGATATCAATGTTCATCCCCACTCTACCATGTAGACAACATGACCTACACACTGCACACAGATATCAATGTTCATCCCCACTCTACCATGTAGACAACATGACCTACAGACTACACACAGATATCAATGTTCATCCCCACTCTACCATGTAGACAACATGACCTACACACTGCACACAGATATCAATGTTCATCCCCACTCTACCATGTAGGAAACATGACCTACACACTGCACACAGATATCAATGTTCATCCCCACTCTACCATGTAGACAACATGACCTACAGACTACACACAGATATCAATGTTCATCCCCACTCTACCATGTAGACAACATGACCTACACACTGCACACAGATATCAATGTTCATCCCCACTCTACCATGTAGACAACATGACCTACAGACTACACACAGATATCAATGTTCATCCCCACTCTACCATGAAGACAACATGACCTACACACTGCACACAGATATCAATGTTCATCCCCACTCTACCATGTAGGAAACATGACCTACACACTGCACACAGATATCAATGTTCATCCCCACTCTACCATGTAGACAACATGACCTACAGACTACACACAGATATCAATGTTCATCCCCACTCTACCATGTAGGAAACATGACCTACACACTGCACACAGATATCAATGTTCATCCCCACTCTACCATGTAGACAACATGACCTACAGACTACACACAGATATCAATGTTCATCCCCACTATACCATGTAGACAACATGACCTACACACTGCACACAGATATCAATGCTAATCCCCACTCTACCATGTAGAAAACATGACCTACACACAGATATCAATGCTTATAATCCCCACTCTACCATGTAGACAATATGACCTACACACTGCACACAGATATCAATGTTCATCCCCACTCTACCATGTAGACAACATGACATACACACTGCACACAGATATCAATGTTCATCCCCACTCTACCATGTAGACAACATGACCTACAGACTGCACACAGATATCAATGTTCATCCCCACTCTACCATGTAGACAACATGACCTACACACTGCACACAGATATCAATGTTCATCCCCACTCTACCATGTAGGAAACATGACCTACACACTGCACACAGATATCAATGTTCATCCCCACTCTACCATGTAGACAACATGACCTACAGACTACACACAGATATCAATGTTCATCCCCACTCTACCATGTAGGAAACATGACCTACACACTGCACACAGATATCAATGTTCATCCCCACTCTACCATGTAGACAACATGACCTACAGACTACACACAGATATCAATGTTCATCCCCACTCTACCATGTAGACAACATGACCTACACACTGCACACAGATATCAATGTTCATCCCCACTCTACCATGTAGACAACATGACATACACACTGCACACAGATATCAATGTTCATCCCCACTCTACCATGTAGACAACATGACATACACACTGCACACAGATATCAATGTTCATCCCCACTCTACCATGTAGACAACATGACCTACAGACTACACACAGATATCAATGTTCATCCCCACTCTACCATGTAGACAACATGACCTACACACTACACACAGATATCAATGCTAATCCCCACTCTACCATGTAGGAAACATGACCTACACACTGCACACAGATATCAATGTTCATCCCCACTCTACAATGTAGACAACATGACATACACACTGCACACAGATATCAATGCTAATCCCCACTCTACCATGTAGGAAACATGACCTACACACAGATATCAATGCTTATAATCCCCACTCTACCATGTAGACAACATCACCTACACACTACACACAGATATCAATGTTCATCCCCACTCTATGTAGACAACATGACCTACACACAGATATCAATGTTCATCCCCACTCTATGTAGACAGCATGACCTACACACAGATATCAATGTTCATCCCCACTCTACAATGGAGACAACATGGCCAAAACACTGCACACAGATATCAATGCTAATCCCCACTCTACCATGTAGACAACATGGCCTATACACTGCACACAGATATCAATGCTAATCCCCACTCTACCATGTAGACAACATGACCTACACACAGATATCAATGTTCATCCCCATTCTACAATGGAGACAACATGGCCAAAACACTGCACACAGATATCAATGCTAATCCCCACTCTACCATGTAGACAACATGGCCTATACACTGCACACAGATATCAATGCTAATCCCCACTCTACCATGTAGACAACATGGCCTATACACTGCACACAGATATCAATGCTAATCCCCACTCTACCATGTAGACAACATGGCCTACACACTGCACACAGATATCAATGCTAATCCCCACTCTACTATGTAGACAACATGGCCGAAACACTGCACACAGATATCAATGCTAATCCCCACTCTACCATGTAGACAACATGGCCTATACACTGCACACAGATATCAATGCTAATCCCACTCTACTATGTAGACAACATGACCTACACACTGCACACAGATATCAATGCTAATCCCCACTCTACCATGTAGACAACATGGCCTATACACTGCACACAGATATCAATGCTAATCCCCACTCTACTATGTAGACAACATGGCCGAAACACTGCACACAGATATCAATGCTAATCCCCACTCTACCATGTAGACAACATGGCCTATACACTGCACACAGATATCAATGCTAATCCCACTCTACTATGTAGACAACATGACCTACACACTGCACACAGATATCAATGTTCATTCCCACTCTACCATGTAGACATGTAGTGACTGATCATATAATCAGTCAATCGATCAGGAGGGCGTCAGCGATTTCATTAGGCTTGGTTTTACTGTCAAAATCCTGGCACAGACGGGCCAGCTGTTCATGAAATAACTAAGTCAATATGTCGACTTTGCAATGCAGGGATAAAACATAGCGGCAACTCTTAACTTAAAAAAACGTTTAGACAAGATCCACCCTACAACTACGAACCCTACAAAATCTGCAACACAAGCTAGGATTTCTACTTTGTCTTGTCGTCAGCTTGCTGTTGTTTTTAAGAGGTGCCTTGTGGCGATGGATGTCTTGAAAACGTAGCAGAAAATGCTGAATCTCCCAGATCAAGAGTTGATAAAAGATGTTGAGACGAGATGGACATGCTGTCTCGTCTTCTTGAGTGAGTGAGTCGGATTTAATGCCGCTTTCAACAG